TATTGTTATTATCGTTATCATTATCACTATCATTTTAGACGGTTTTGGATTGAGGCAACAGGAAAAGAGAGGGGGACACAGAGTGGAGGTGGACGGTCGTTGGTTGTGGGTGCCGTGGGTCGTTGGTTGTGGGTGCCGTGGGTAGTTGGTTGTGGGTGCCGTGGGTCGTTGGTTGTGGGTGCCGTGGGTTGTTGGTTGTTGGTGTTGTTGGCTGTGGGTCGTTGGTGTTGTGGGTGTTGATGTCATCATGGTTGTCGCGAGTGACTGGTTATCCGATCCATTTTGGTTTCAAAGATGGTTAGTTATTTTGGTCGGTATAGAATCATTGGTGTTGTTCACCATTTCTAATTTTGTTGTTCGAGCTGCTCATGCAAGTAAGGCCATGCATCTTTAACACTTTACTAAATTGTATTCAGATATTGTCCACTTCTATTTTAGGTGAGAATTGCTAGGTTATTTGTCTTCTTTGCTTCCCAAGCACATTGATTTCAAAGGAAAGGTACATGAAAACTTGGGGAAACTATGCTTTTGTGCGAGAAATAAAGGACACGAACATTCAGAAATCTTTCCCCATTCCATTTTCTTTAGCTTGTCGTTCTTACGAAGGGATCTGTTTTCTTGAGCTCATCCTACCCACCCTATGACCGTATAGTTTTCAACAAGCATTGTGCTCCCATTGGAAACCTAGCTTTTGAGTGAAATCAAAATTGAGCGAATGTCGGAGAAAGCATAGAGATCAAGCTGTGAAGACGTTCTGTTCAGGGAAGTTCTTTAGTTTTCTTGTTTTCTGTTTTCTCAGAATACATCTTGTGTCAAGAGATTTGCTGTGGAAGAGAATCGAGTCCTGTAGGAGCAGCGGAGAGTAAAGGTGAGAAATGTGCAGTCTTGTTTGTTTTCTTTCCCTTTGATATTGACTGATGTTAGTGAAAAGATATAATAAGAGTCAGAAGACCAAGTAGTAGGCTAAATGGCAGAGACAGCAATTAAGATTAGCAGGCTGCTGCCAGTAACTAGTGTTTCTTTTATACATTTATAAGCATTTTGATAAAAATGTGTGGCAGAGACAGCACCTAAGATTAGCAAGCTGCTGCCAATAACTAGTGATGTTTTATATATTTTTAAGCATTCTGGTAAAAACTCGTGGCAGAGACAGCACCTAAGATTAGCAAGCTGCTGCCAATAACTAGTGATGTTTTATATATTTATAAGCAGTCTGGTAAAAACTTGTGGCATAGACAGCACCTAAGATTAGCAA